GGGGGGGGGGGGGTGGGGGGGGGGGGGGTCCATCGCTGCAGAGGAACAGCAGCTCATCTGACTCCGACCTTCATCAGAGTCTGTTAATTTACAGAAACCTGCTGGTTCAGTAAATAAAAAGACATTCTGATAGAAAGGATTAAATAATCTCACAAAAAGGACTCAGGTTAGATTCACCTGAACCAAATCTGGTTCATGTGGAAACGAGCTTCACTGACCCGTTTTCATTCTGAATATAAATGTTGTTGTTTTTTTGCTTCCAGACTGCGTGAAGTGTCAAGTCTTTTTACTAAAACATCACTAAATTAGTTTTTTTTCTAGACGACGGTTCGTTTTCAGAGAAAATCCTTTGATCTTTCTCCTCTCCCCGCAGATATTTTACGTTTACCAGAGGAAGTTTCTCAGGACGCTCCTGAATAAATTCACCGAAACGTTATTCATCGAGTTTTAAAGACGACGTACGACAGTTGGAATGCATATCACCCATTCTGTGTTGAAAACTGACGGGATTTTTAGATGTTTCAGTCAAATCTTCAAAATAATGTGACGAACAATCAGTCGGCGTTCAGAGTATGAGTTGAGGATGATTCTCAGCTACTACCACACCAGTCTGAGTTGTAGCCACCTCGACGTTCTGAGCTTTATAAAAATACAACCAGTGCTTGGTCAGATATTTCGCGAATAGACAAACATACACAGACATTAATTAATTATAGGATCACCTTCCTTTCATGGCAGGAAGTGATAAAAAATACACAACTAGTGTCAACGTAACCCCCTCATTAAATATTGTAGAAAAAAGGACAAACGTTTGTGAGACATGGGCCAAAGTCTCTATTTATATGTGACAAAAACAAAACTTTAAAAAAAAACTTCATGTTGGAGTTTAAATATTAGATAAGAAAACTGCCGATGGATGAGTTCCGACCTGCAGATAAGAGGATCATGTCAGAAAGAGACGGCAACACATCTGACAGGAAACAACACCAACGAGTCGAAGTTCACCTCAGCCGGACTTTGGACGCTAATGAGTCAGAAAGTATCTGTAACGATGATAATCACGGTTTCCAGACACGTTTGGAAACCGAGAAAGTCTGACCATCAGCAAAAAACTGCTGAACTTTTGGGGAGGGGTCCCAGTGAAGTCAGAAAATACCATGTGAAGTCAAACTCCTCCAAGTAAAGTCAAACCCCTTTCCACTCCTATTGAAGTCAAACCCCTTGCTGTGATGTAAAACCCAACCATGTGAAGTAAACCTCTACCCTCGTGGTGAAGTCAAACCACCTCTTAACAAGCAAAACACCACCCTGAGGTAAAACTCCTTCCTATTAATTTAATCCTTACCCTTTTAGTGAAGATAAAACCAATGCAGTGAAGTCAAACCTTTAACAGTAACACTCCCTCACATGAAGACAAACTCTCTATGTGAAGTCAAATCCCTCCCAATGAAGTTAAACCCATTCCAGAGAAGTTAGAGTAGTAGGCTGCTTCTACAGAGAGCCATGAGACTCTTTCACTCACCAGTTCTAAGAGGAGGTTTAGGAGGAAAGTGATGCTGAATGGGACAGAAAGCAAAAGTGCTGGAGTTAAAAAAAGTTTTCATGTTTTTAACTTTTTAATAGCTGGTTATTAATGAATGCCATTTATTTTTGTGGTTTTAGTCATTTCAAGACCAATACAGTACCTTCCTACCACTACCACTTTCAAGTGAAGGTAAACACCTTCCATGACAATAAAACTCCTCATTGTGAGGTCAACATCATCCTATGTAAAGTCAAAGCCCTTTCTGTAAAGTTAAACCCATCCCCTCATGGTGAAGAAACAAACAAAAACTCTTAGTGAGGTTAAACCCATCCCAGTGAAGTTGTAAGCTACTTTTACAGGAGGTTAAGGAAGAATGTGATGCTGACAGGGACTGGAAACAGGACCACTGGATCTTTATTAATTTTATTTTGTGTTTTATGTTTTTTATTTATTGTCACTATTTGAAGTTAGAGTTGTATTTCTAGTACGTACCAACAAACCCCTCCACCTTCTCTGTGAAGGTAAACCCCTCTGTTTAAAGTAAAACCTCTGCTAAATAGAGTAAAACTTTCCCATTAAGAAACCCCCTAGTCAAACTCCTCTCTGTGAAGTCAAACCCCTCCCTGTGTAATAATAAGGATCTGCTGACTCCATCACACCCCCACCTTCCTCACTTGCATGTGACTCAGGTTCTGTTGTGGGTCCAGTGTGGGTGGGTTTCTTAGCAGATGACGTGCAGAGCAGCAGGATGAACCCCCACCCCCACCAGGTCCCCCCCACTGAGCACCCGGTCCAGAACTCCCTGGCTGGCAGTGAGCAGGTATTTACCTCTGCCACATCACATCAGCCGGCTCAGTTTCCTAGCAACCTCCTGTAATGAATTCTGGCAGAACTCAGGAGAGGTTTGGACCTGAAGGCTCACCTGCCAGCGTGTGGGCGCTGATCCGTTTGGCACCGAGCCTCACAGGAGGTTCTGGGTTCCTCAGAAACTTTACTCAGGTGAAGAAAATAAAACTTTTTAAAAAACATGTCAGAGGTTCTGCAGATGCTGTCATTTCCTCCGGGCCAGAATTTATCTCGTAAAGTAGACATCGCCCGCCTGAGAAAAGTGGGCAATAATGTAAACGTCTGATTGTGTTAGCAAAATATCTCATAGACCATTGGTTGGATTTTATTAAAACCTTTGGAACTACAGCTGATTAATATTTAGAGTCAAGTTGATCCAAGATGGCCGCCGCAGCTAACCGACCTTAGCTGATCTCATCGTTTAGTAAAACCTTTGGATCAAAGGACCTGCGAAGACACACAGGACCGGTTCTGAAGCCGAGGTCTTACTCTCCAGGAAGTCCAGCTGACAGGCGGGGGCGTCCAGGCTCAAGAAGTTGAACCCGCGGGTCGGCCGGCTCTGCCCCCTCTTCATCGCCGACTCCCCGGGGGTCAGACCCTGGAGCATGCTGCTCTTCCCGGCACCGTCAAGACCCAGAACCAGAACCTGACGCTTCTCACGCTCCTCCTCCTCCTGCGGGCAGAGACGTCGGTTTAAACATGATGAATTCTCCATCATGTGTTAGCAAAATATCTCAGGAACCTGTGGACAGATTTTAATGAAACGTTCAGCTCGTTCAGGGTGTTCGGCTCATTCAGGGTATTCGGCTCATTCGGGGTGTTCGGCTCATTCAGGGTGTTCGGCTCGTTGAAGGTGTTCAGCTACGACTTGTAGTTCTTGTAACTTTTACACTTTTTGAATTAATAAACTTTATTCACGTTTTATTTCACAGAAATGTGTTGAAGTTTCTTCAAGTCCTTAAAAAACTTCAGCAGTTAACTTTATAGGTTTTAGCTGTTTTGCTTGTTTTAACTTTTAGGTTTTGTTTTTCTAGTTTAGCTTCTATTCACTGTTTTATTATTTTTAATAATAAAACAGCTGTTGTCCTGATAATTTAAGCTGTTACTTTGATTTAGCTGTTTTTCTGATAATTACAGCTTTTGTCCTGATCTTAGCACCAACATAACTGGTTTGTTCCACGTTGGAGGAAGCTGTTTGGGGGAAGAATCAGTTTTGTGTTGTGTGTTTCCTTGACTGATGAAGCCTTCTGGATGGAAGGTGAAACGTTCTGCAAAAAAAGAAACTGTCCAGATGACCTGACTGAAAAATGTTGGATTGTATACCTGGATTATTGAGCATGGACTTTGTTGGTTTTGTCCTGATAGTTTTAGCAGAGGTTCTGATCATTTCAGCTGTGGTCTTGATAATTTCAGCTGTTCAGATAATTTTAGCTGTTGTTCTGTTCATTTCAGTTTTTGTCCTGATAGTTTTAGCAGTTGTTTGGATAACATCACCTGTTGACCTGACTATTTCAGCTGTTGTTCAGCTTTTAGCTGTGGTCCGGATAACTTTAGCTGTTTCATGCGGGTAAAGATACTGGATGGATGATAGTTTTAGCTGTTGTTCAGATAATTTCAGCTGTTGTCTTGATTATTTTAGCTGTTATATTGGCAGTTTTAGCTGTTGACAACATAATAATGTGTATTGCTTCTTCATCATCATCATCATCCCAGGTGAGCTCTCGCGCAGACACCCGGAGCCGTTTCCGGTCAAATAAAGTAAAATAGAGTGAAATGGAGTCGGGGGGGTCGCACCTCTGTGATGGAGCTGTACTCCGCCTGAGGAGACCAGACCCGCCGCGGGTACAAGAAGTTCAGGGCGATGAAGAGCGCGGAGCCCAGCGCGGCCACGGCGGCGGTCAGGACGACCGAGATGTTCCGGAGGAGAACCATGACTGGACCCACGGAGGGCCGGGACCAGAGCCGGGTCCGGGGAGCCTGAGCCGGGCTTCGCTGGGCAGCTTCCTCCTCTTCCTCCCTCAGGTCCTGAGCTCTGCTTGTTTTTGAAGAGCGCGTGAAGGAGGAGGAGGGAAAAAATGCTGCGTTCACGTCCGGCACGGAAACCGTGCATCTCACCCGAACCGGCAGAAACTAAATTAGAACTGAACGAGTTCATATTAAACAAAACCAAACTAAAATTAAGGTTGTGGAGATTTTTCAGAAATATTATGATAAATATTTATAAAACACTCATTTTCCCCAAGGAAATTGAATTTCTTATAGTGGTGGCGCAGAGGTTAGAAGATGGGCTTGTGATCGGAAAGTCGCAGGTTCAATTCCCGGTACCGTCAACATCAAAATGTGGGTGGAAAAGGTGAAACATCCACACCTGCCTCCACCCTGATTCACCTGACTCTGAGCCCCTGAGCAAGGCACTCAACCCCACCATCTGCTCCTAAACAGGTCTCTCTTGAAAATGAGTTCTCGTGGCTCAATGACACTACCTGGATAAATAAAGGTAAATGAAAGAAAATAAACGGGAGACAGAGTTTTTGCCTGTATCTGTTAGCAAAATATCTCATGAATCACAGGATGGAATTAATTGATACTCTCAGAAAGAAACCACTGGAATAACAGCAGCATCTGTTAAAGGTTAGAGTCAACCTGATTCAAGATGGCCGCCACAGCCAGGTGACCTCAGAAAACTCAAACATGGCTCCAACTCGGTGGCAGCTGCTGAGAGTTATACCCAACACTTACTCCAAGTGCTGCTTGTTGTGCCAGATTTGTTCCTAAAACTTTGACATTAACTCCTCTGCTTCTTGACCCCGTTTGTCTGTTAGCAAAATATCTCACAAGTCACTGGACAAATTTTATTGGAACTTTTTGGAACAAATCATTGGATGTACTACGTCTAACTACCTGTTGGGATTAATCCAATCCAAGATGGCTGCCACAACTAATTGATATGTTCCTCAGAAAGACTCTAATTCAACCAGTTCTACAGATTTGAGCTCAAAGTTGTCATTCCCAACACAGACTGCGTCAGAGCGATGTTTTTTAAAAGGTTTGACCAAAAATGGCTACAGCTGTCATTTCTCCACAAAAGACTAATTTTTCTCAGACTATGGCAATATGGCGGCAGGTAACATGCATTCCTTCAAGGTATGCTTTAATGTTTTAAAAATTAGAAAATTTTAATTTAAAAAATTGCTCAATATATCTATTGCGCTATTTTTCTAAAGACATTCTGAATTTCTTTTACATTATTCATTACAGTATAAGCTTTATTTTCTGTTATAAGCTTGTCTTTCATTATCATCCCAGCTATTGAAGCAAAACTTCTTGTATAATGAAACCTCTCCCACTGAAAGAAAATACTCCTGTGAAGCCAACCCCCTCCAAGTTAAGCCCACAGTAAAGCAAAAACCATTGCTGTGAAGTTAAACCACTTCTTGTAAAATTACTTACCTGGGAGGCAAAACCCCTTCCTATGAAGTCAAACCCTTTCTAGTTAAATAATCTATCTGTGAAGTCAAACCCATTTGAGTAAATGCTCCCAGTGAAGAAATCCCCCCTTGCATGATGTAAACCCCCCCCCCCCCCCCCCACACACACACACATGTAAGGTAAAACTGTTTCAGTATAAATTCATTCAACTTTTATTTATACAGGTTAGTCCCATTGAGCCCCAGGGACTCATTTACAAGAGACCTACCCCAAATGAAGCAAAACCTCTCCCTGTAAAATCAAAGCCCTCCCAGTGAAGTACCTACAGTAAAATAAAAACCCTAACTGTAAAAATTTCCCATTTGAGTAAACGCTAATCCCCCTTCCTATGAAGTCAATCCTCCTAGTAAAATACCCCCAAGGTGAAGTAAAACTCCTCCAAGTGAAGTGAAACCTGTTTCAGTATAAATGAAGTTAAAAACTCCCAGTGAGGTCAAATTCCTCCCTGGACGTTTTCAAATATTTGCAGTTAAAGCCACTTAACTCGAAGCCTTGCTTAAGCCTTAATGATCCAAGTAAAAGGAAATGTGACAAAACTCAAGGGATGAGCCACTGTTTCAGAATAAAATAGAAACACCTCAAAGAACCCATTTTAATTTAGATGTTTGGTCATGTCATGTTTCAAACACAAACTGTTTTCACTTGATTTGTATATTGATAAGAACAAAACACGTCTGTCAGACTTCAAACTGCTTTCTGTTATAGATTTAAAAAATACACACAAACATTTTTAAATGTTCCATTTTCTCCCAAAATGAAAAAAGCAGCGAACTCAAGAAATCTTTGCTCTTTATTTTCTGTTTTATGTCTCATTTTTTTGCTCGATCTCAGCTGTTTCTTTCTTTGTAACTTTCAATAACTAATACATTTATTTAAGAGAAAGATCAAAAGTTTTTGTCCTGGAGTGACACCAGACGGTTGTTAGAGAACTTGTCTTCTGGTTTTACTGGAGATAATTTGTTTCTTAACAGTTTAACAAGAGAAGCTTGAAACTGGTTTAAGTCCAGACAACATCCAACCAGACAACATCCATCAACTCTTCTGGTCATTGGTCTCAGGTGACAGAAAATTCGAATGTCCGACAGCCCCTGAAGGCATCACAGCCACCCAGATGTCAAACAAAAAAGCTGAAAGTTTTCAAATATTTGCTAAAGGGCTGTAAAAAAAAAAAGTGAAAGAATGTGTGCACGTGTGCAGATGAAAGTTGTTTCTCCATGAGACGAGTCTGAGGTCAGAGCTCCACCTAGAGTCCAGTTTTATGTTTTAATAAAATATTTTAACACGGTAGATCTGTGATCTGTTGGGAGGTTCAGTAATGAGATATTATATTTAAAGGTTTGGTCTGTTTCAGTTTGTTAAATCTATAAAAAAAACAAAAAAACAACCGAGATCCAAACTTGATAAGAGGAGTGACATGACACCGAAGAAGCTTCGAGGGAACAGATTTAGTCTTCTAACAAACAGTTTTCTCTTTTTAACTCACAATGACTCGTTTTAACGGCTCCCTGTCAAACTCAGAATTTAATTCAAAATCTTACTTCTAACCTACAAAGCTCTCAACAACCTAGCTCCATCTTATATTACAGATCTCTGTGGATGCATTCTCATCTACCTGCCAGCTGTGCTCCAGTGCCTGACCACCGAGATCCTGGAACTAGCAGGAAACACGGCTCATGACAGCAGAAGGACAAGATCGTCCCTCGGCACCTACAGTTGTCTGTCCGCAGCGACGAGGAGCTCGGCAGACTGCTGGGAGGAGTTCTGCCCATCATTCAGGCGGTCCTACAGCCCAGGGGAACCGAGAGGCCAGCCGAGTCTGGGTGGACGGATCGGACGGCATCTGCAACCAGTTTCTTAGGATCCACTGTGGGATGGACCTTTACAAGAGATACTTCCTACCTACAGCATCAGCATCTATAACATCTCTTAATGAAATGAGGATAACGAGTTACAACAACAAATAATTTCCCTCTGGGATTAATAAAGTATTTTTGAATTGAATTGATCGTTCCATATATTCTGAACAGAGCACTTCTCTCTCAGACTGCAGGTTTACTTGTGGTTCCTAGAGTTTCCAAAAGCAGAATGGGAGGAAGATCTTTCAGTTCTCAGGCTCCTCCCTTGTGGAACCAACTTCCAGTTTCTGTCCGTGAGGCGGACACATTGTCCAGTTTTAAGACAACTTCCTTTTTGATAAATCCTATAGTTAGGGCTGGCTTAGGTTTCCTGAGCTATCCCTTAGTTATGCTGCTGTAGGCTTAGACTATAGAGGACACATCTCCTCACTCTGCTGCTGTGTTCGCTTGTTCTATTCTTCATGCTTGTATTTGTAAATGTTCATACGATCAACATGTTTCTCCACACCTGCAACACATGTGATGAAAACCATAACCAGATGATTTCCTCAGGGTGCTTATAGTCTCGTTTCAGGTGACTGACCTGTTGGAGTCTGTTGTGCTGCTGTCATCTCTTTATTATTGTTCTGAGTGTCCAGAACAAACGGCCACACCTCAGATGACACACGACTACACAGTCAGACATGGATCTACGACCTGGTGCCGTGTGAACTTATGTTGGAACATGGTGTTCATGATGGACAAACCGTGACCGGCAGAAGTCCAACAACAAGCGCCCCTCGGGTTCAGATCAGATCCTCACATCACGGCCCTCCAGCTCGTGGGCACTGAAGTCCCCAGTTTGAGTTTTTGAAAGCTTCACAGCTGGATGAGTTATTTCTCTAGCCTCATTTTTGACTGTAATACATAAACATTTAAAAACTTTAACGTGATTTAATATGAATAACATTTATTGTAATGTTTTCTAGCTGGGGTTGTCTTGTTTTTTTGAGACAGTCTTATTTGTGTAGTTATTTAGAAATAAATGTTGGTATTCTTTGTTTTAGATCTTTATTGATTTTTTTTTTCACTTTATTTTGTGTTTTTGTAAATTTCTAGCACAGACACATTATTAAAGTATTTTTTAAAATATAACTCTTACCCCCTGAACTTTATTAAAATGTGTCACTAAACAACCCAACGCCAATAAAGAATTAAATTTTCAGAAAATGTTAATGGATTTAAATAAAAAGTCGATTCTTAAAAGGAAACAATGATTGATAAATAATGCAAAGAAACAATCATTCTAACAATGTTAATGCAATGAAAACCATTTTTTTAATTTAAAAAGAAACAGAATAATTATATAAAATCTTTTAGCTTCAATAAAACCCCCAACAACATTTAAAAACATGTTTTTTATCACAGTTTAATTTAAATGTTTTCCAGAGGGATTTAGACCGGAAGTTGTTTTTGCTGGCCGACTTCGTGCTCTGCTGTTTTATTTTGAAACCGGAAGTGACGGTTAGCTGAAGCTTGATGGCGGCGGATCGAAGCGGGTCAGCACGAAAGAAAAGACCGTAACCGCCGCAGCTCTCCTCTCCTCCGCGCGCCTTCAAACCGGGACTTTAACAGGATAAACCGGGAGTTTCCCGGGAGTTCACCGGCTGTGGGTCCGCTCGGTACTTTTATTCGACCGGAACAGGCGGTTCGGAGCGTTCGGCTCCCCGCGCGGACTGTTGGCTAACGTCGGTTCCTGCTGAACGTCATGGTGGCCTGGTCGCTCCGGGAGAGGGGACCCGCTCCGTCCGTTTAGCGGGATCTCTGGTCCGTTCGGGCCCGCTCCACCGATGTTCCGGACCCGTTAGCGCCGCCCGGGTGGAACTGCCATTTTGTTTCGAAGCGGAGCGGAGGATTCCTGCGGGGACTTGGAGGAAAAGTTGTTCCCGGGCCGCCTGGAAGTTCCCGTTCAGGACTCGGAAAAGTTTACAAACGTCCCGGAAACAAACGGAAGGGACGCGGGGTTTATTTCGTTCCGTTTGGGCTTTGCTGCTTCGTTTATTTTTGTTTTTTACTTCGGATGCTGAGGAATTTGTGCGCAAGTGCAGCCTCCTCCGGAGCTCCATCCTCCGCTCGCTCGGCGCGTCCTCCTTTAACCGCGGACCCGAGTTCTTGTGATTCTGGGTCGGTGCCATGGCCTAACCCGAGCCGCTGCGGGCCGGGTCCGTTCGGGGCAAAGGTTCTGGTTCTGGTGGAGACGATGAGGGCAGAGAGCCCCGGCTTCCCTCCGTTATGAGCTCACGCCGAGCGGATTTATGGAGACATGCCGAGGAAGGAGCTGCCACTACCGGACGGTTGGGAGGAGGCCCGAGACTTCGACGGCAAAGTTTACTACATCGACCACAAGAGCCAGTCCACCAGCTGGATCGACCCCCGAGACAGGTGAGGGGCAGGTGGAGCTGACCTTTGACCCCTGGCAGGTGTCAGAGGCGCTTCTTTTCATTTAATGTGCTGTCTTTATGGATTTCTCTGTTAGCAAAATATCTCATGAACCAGTGGATGTATGCTCATGACGCTATCAAAGCAGTCTTGACCCAATTCAAGATGGCCGCCCTGGCTAAACAACCTCAGGGAACACAAACATGGCTGCATCTCGGTCAGTTTTACAGATGCAGAGCTAAAAGTGTGGTAGTAGCCGAGAGTCGTACCTAACTTATACTCTGAGGACTAACTGTAACTTGAGTCAGCTGTCTGTTAGCAAAATATCTTGTGTGTCAGTGGACAGATGTGAACAAAACTATGAAAATAGTCATTTCTTCTGACAGCTTTTGGAGCAAACCCAAGTCAAGATGGCCGACGCAGCTAAACAACCTCAGCAAACGCTAACAGCTTAGTTTGTTTTACAAATACTGAGGTAAAGTTTGCTGTGGTAGTAGCTGAGGGTCATCTTCAACTCACAGGCTGAGCGCTAACTGAGTATGTAATGTCTGTTTTATTCAATTCAAAAATACTTTATTAATCCCAAAGGGAAATTATTTGTTGTAACTCGTGATCCTCGTTTCATTAAGAGATGTTATAGATGCTGAGGCTGTAGACAGGAAGGATCTCTTGTAAAGGTCCATCCCACAGTGGATCCTGAGAAACTGGCTGCAGATGCCGTCCGATCCATCCACCCAGACTCAGCTGGCCTCTTGGTTCCCCGGCTGCAGGACCGCCCGAATGCTGGAGTGAACTCCTCCCAGAGCGATGGCCACTCCTCCCAGAGCGATGGCCACTCCTCCCAGCAGCCTGCCGAGCTCCTCGTCGCCGCGGACAGCCGGCCACAGGTGCCGGGGGATCCTTCTGCTGTCATGAGCCACGTTTCTTGCCAGTTCCAGGGTCTCCTTAGGAGATCTTAGGATCTCAGTGGTCAGGCACTCGAGCACAGCTGGCAGGTAGACAGGAATGCATCCACGGAGCCTCCTTTTCAACTCATTTGAGATTTGGGGCTGTAGCTGAGATCTTATTTGAGATTTGGGGATCTTAATCTGCTGCTCCCGGTTGTAAAAAACCCCCCAAAAAAACACCTTGTTGTTATGGTTACGCATCATAACAAACGTCCAAAAGTAAAAAAGTTTCAGTAAAAATCCTTCCAGCTGCTCAGCATCTGATACCAGAGGAAGTAAATGTCTGGAAAAAAGTGATTTACATCCAGAAAAACAGGAATTAAAGTTTCCAAAAGCAAAATCTCAGAGTGAAAGTAACAGAGCTGCTCCAACATGCAGCCCCCCCGAGCGCAGCGGTTCTAGAACTTATGTCAACTGCATCTGTTAGCAAAATATCTTGTGTTCCAGTGGACTGATATTAACAAAACTATAAATCTTTTCATCTGACAACTCTTGGAGCAAATTCAATTCAAGATGGCCGCCACAGCTAAACCTTTGTGAATACTAAAATGGCTACAACTTGTTTGATTTCACAGACACTGAAGTAAGATTTGGTGTGGTAGTAGCCGAGAGTCATACTTAACATATACGCTGAGGGCTAACTCATCCTGTGACGCGTTAGCAAAATATCTCATGTCCTACTGGACTACTATCTCGTTAGTTGTGGCCCTACGGGTTCTGAACTGTTGAATTTAGCACAGATCAAGATGGCCGACATAGCCAAGTCAGCTTAGGGAACACAGAAATGGAATTTGGTGTGGTAGTAGCTGAGCATCGTCTTCAGCTTATACGCCGAGAGCTAACCGATTGCGCAGTGTCTGCTTTTAGATCAATCGTTTTCTGTTAGCAAAATATCTCCTGAACCACCATATGGATTTTAATACATTTCCCATGTCTGCAGCTGATTTATGGTTGGTCCATTCCAAGATGGCCGCCACAGCCAAGTCACCCTGGAACACTCAGTAAATCTTACCAATACTAAGCTAAAACGTGGCGTGGTAGTAGCTGAAAGTCATCCCCACCATGGAACTTGAGCACTAGCTGATCGTGCAGTATCTGTTTTAAAGTCCGTTTCTTGCTTCACGTGTAAATGAGTTCTGTGACTTCTCTGTCTAAATAACGGTTGAATGAATGTTAGCAAAATATCATGTGCTCCCACAAAGTTCCCGCACATTCATCGTCGGCTGTAAGTCTACGGTTGGTTAAGTTTCGTCGTTGGTTCGGTTCAGTCGGACTCCTCCAGAGAAAACCCGTGACGCCCGTCGGAGCCTCGTCAGTCAACACAAACAAACTACAAAGATTTGACTGTAGTTTATTGTTGTCGTTGTTTACTGTTGTTGTTGTCTGTTCTGTGTGGAACAGGTCTCTCTTGTAAATGAGTTCTCGTGGCTCAATGAGACGAACCTGTAGAAATAAAAGATGAACTTCCAACTCCAGCGACTAAAATCTGTTCTGACTGAGTGAATCCACGGACTCGGTCGTAAGCGATTAAAGGACCTGGGTCAAAGTCCGAGAGCTTTTAGCTAACGGTTAAAAGCACAAGCTCCGCCCCCGCCGTGTTCTGTTGCAGCAGAACCGTTTGGTGTTCGGCTCCTGAAGGCACCACGGTCCATAAAAGAAACGAGACAGCCGGAGGTCTGACTGTCTCCAGGATGTGGAAGCCCAAGAAAAGAACCGGAGCCGGACTCCAGCGCCCCCTGAGGTCGTCCCAGATTTTACCTGGCACATCCAACCTTCTTGACCCGCCCTTCCTGTCTGGGCGGTGGGGAGCTGGTGTCTGTCCAGGTGTCGCTGTGTGAGACGTGGGACACCTGGACATGTTGCCAGTCCACCACAGGGACACAAAGTGTTTTGTCTCGTTTCGACGCAGGTTCTTCGCGTCTCTAGTTCTGAGCACCACCTCAATGTGGACGGGTTCTTCTGAGCGCGGCCTCTCGTACCTTCAGCGACGTTATTTTCTGTCCAGCACAAACAACAACGAGCAAAAGAGAAGTAACGTCTCAAAACACGCTTCGGCCACGGGTTCTAAAAATGTCAAGGCCCCCTCGCCACCGCCGGTCGGAGCTGCAAATTAAATCCATTTGTTCTGACTCCGTTTAAATCCTGTTGTCGTCCAACAAGTCAGAAACATCTGCTGCTCCTCAGCCAAACACGTGGCTGGTTTTTATACTACATGTTTTTTTTCAGTGTAAACAAGAATAAATGCTGCGGCTCTGAAGTTTTAAAAACGGTGTGTTTGAGCGACGTCCTGCAGTCTGCTGTCCTCACATCTTCAGCTCAACCTGGCTCGCTTGAACCCCGGCCCAGTAGGTCCTAAGAACCGAGCTGGAAGTGGGCGGAGTCACCAACTGGAAAGGCTGAACCTGCAGGACCGAGTTGAGCCCGTAGAGAAGGTCCGTAGAGTTACCGTGTAAATGAATAAACACGTTCACGGAGGGAACCGGTGAACTGCACCCAGAAAGGCCCCGGGGCGAACCTGCGACCTTCTCACTGAGCGGCAGCAGCTCTAACCGCTGCTCCACACCGTTGCAGTTTCAACAGAAGATCAAACGATAAGAGTTCAGACTCTGACCCGTTTGTTTGAAACCGTCCATCCAGACTGGAGGTTTACGTCTTCAGAAACGATCCTTTTATTTCCTGTCAAAGTGACCGTTTTTCTCATCTGTAGCTTCAGGAAATCCCTTCATATAATGTTCATATAAAGCTCAGGAATTCCTCTTTTAAACATTTGGCTGGTTTTCTCAATGACATCGTTGCAGATCAACAGTTTTCAAACCGGCGCTCTTGTAAACAAAACTAACTCGTTTCCCGGCGATAATCGGAATATTTGAACAAACTCATTTTGAGGCTTCGGAGACCGAAAATACGAAAATAAAAACTCTGCGTCGGAAAGTTCCTCATTTCGAAAAAACATCTGGATGCATTTCTGGGTTTCCAAAGTCGAAAACGAACCTGCTGATGGTTGAAACGGTAAACAAAGTGGTCGTCATGACGACTGGTTTAAAGTAAAAAAACATCCAACGCTCATTAGAGCGACTTCAGGAGTTTTGTAGATTTTTATCTTTTATCAGGAAACGAGTCGAACGTGTCGTCACGGTTCTCCCTGTAAGAGCGGCTGAGTTGAGCAACAGGAAATATTTCAGCAACCTGAGTTGCTGCTTCTTCATTCCAAAGACCTGCAGTCCTGCGTTAGGACTGAACCGGGTCAGAACTCTCCGACAGAACCTGGTGCTTCAGTGAAGCTTTGCTGCTGGTCCTCCACAAACTGGACCACATTCCTGTGGGTTTTAATGAGCCGTCACTGGACAAAGGCCGGCTGAGGCCCGGTCACACGTTAAAACCAGCCTCAGAGCTGCGGGACGGTTCTGTTCTCGTCCCAGTTAACGGTCCGCCGGGCCTCGCGCTGCACTTTGACCTCCTTCACCTGGCAGGCGGTGGAAGGGCTCCGGGATGAGTCGGGTCCGGTCCGCACACGGCTCGTCCCGTTCCAACGTTCGTGTTTCACTTCACGATTTTTTTCACGAACGTTCAGGTTCGAGACGAAAACTGAACCCAGAGAGAAAAACCAGCAGCACCAGTACCGGATGAAGAGTCCAAAACCAGTGACACCGAGCCGACAACTTGGCAAAGAACCCGTTTAAAATCATGTCCTTGTACCTGCAGCCTGTTGGAGACACGAGCTGACGAGTTCTTTAAGAAACAACAAACATAAACACAAAAGAATAAATAAATAAGAGGCGACGAGACAAACGACCGAACTCAAGTTAAAATCCTTGTTTTGTTTCAGACCCAGTTTTAAACAAACAAACAAACAAACAAACAAGAGTTGATCGAATCATCTTAAATAGACAAAAGTCATAAAAAGAAAAAAAAAACATTTACCGGAAATAATAATCTGTCCACGGGTGTTCTGGTCCACTGGTCCATCTGTCCACTGGTGTTCTGGTCCACCTGTCCACTGGTGTTCTGGTCCACTGGTCCATCTGTCCACTAGTGTTCTGGTCCACTGGTCCATCT